TGGTTTCTTTGCTCCTCTAGCAAGATGTTTCATTATGTGTAAAATTTTCTCGGGAGTAAATTGCAGCTCTCCCATAGCTTCTCCAAAGATAAGCAGTGCATTTTAGTTAAGTGTACCTGTACCAGCTTATCATTTCCAACGGAGATAGTTAATTAAAAAGTACTGACACTGTCAATGAGCGAGAGTAACTAAATCTCTGCGTGAGTCTTCCAAGTAATTTGCTGATGCATTAATAATAGCTCTGTTCTGACCAGACACTTGTTGGTAATCGTTACTAGGGTACTCCATGACTGTAGCTTTCTTAATTACAGGTTTATCATTCAAAATTATCAACAGAACTAGTAAATACATAGATTTTTTTCTATTATTTACAATCATGCTAAGCCTTACCACCACCAATCTTTTTGTCACTAAATACCTGCACACACAGACACTAGGGAGCTGCGTGCTTGTGGTGTTGAGGGGTAGAGCAAACATAGCAGGTTTCCTGATAATGATGCCACAAGTGACTGTACTGAGGTTAATGGCAATTCAGTGTTCAGGCTCACAAGATGTTAACTTCAATTTGGGGTTAATTTAAATGTCAGCAAGATGTTTAACCATTTTTTTTTCACTTGAAACTAAAAGATAACTTTTTTTTCCTTATGCTAGTGAATACATTGCATTTCTTTATTCAACCTTGCTTGAATGCTCTGAATGGGTGACTGCATCATTACACTGTTTGTGCTCTCCACACACTCAAGTTTTTCTAGCTATCTACCCAAGAGCAGAGGGAATAGTGACCTTTTTTACAAGAAAGTATTCTTTAGAACAAGTACCTTAATTAAAACAGGGGAAGTAAAGGAAGAAAAGGAGATTAAAACAACAAAAGGTGCCACACCTGTGATATTTGTCAGCCACCTTCTCATTTTCTACTTCAGGATTCCAGCCAATATCAACTCACACTTGCCCTATACCTTAATAGTGAGCATGTCCTTAAAAAGCCACTTTCTCAAGAGATTAAATCACTGCTCGTCCTTTATAGCATTTTAGTTTGGTGAAGATCAGATTTGAAAAATCAAGGCAACTTGCAATTTTTGATGCCCAGCAACAGTAGTATACTTTCAAAACTGTGCTAGATATTCTTACCTGCATTAATGTAATGCTCTCTCTACACCCAAGACCAACACAAAAATAAGTATTCCTGACTAACAAAATAATATCCTCAACTCAATATCCTTGAGTAATTTTCCTTGGATAATTCTTTGGATAATGTGATTGTTCTTCACATTCCTTTGGGCAATCACAGTGACATCATGGTTGCAAGCAGTTAAAAGCTCCTGTTCCCACTGTGCTAATCTAAGCCACCCAAGAACAACTTCAGTGGATGGAGACTTCAGTGCCGACTGAGGGTGCTCAGGCAGTTCTGCTGTCTCTGCTGTCTGGGAGAGCACTGATTTAGATCCATTTTCCCTCTGGCTGGCAAAGACTGGCAGAGCAGGGAAATATGGGGGGGGGGGCTGTCCCTCTAATAGGAACTATCAATAATTTTAAAGATACACCAGCATTTTTTATGAAAGCATGCCGTTACCTTTAGCCCTTGGCACAGAGTCTGATTAGTTTGACTGGCATCTCGTCTTCCTCTTTTTTTGGCTGTTTAATGTCTTCCAGCATTGCTAATTTTAATTGCCATATGTCAGTCTATGCTGAAGACTAAGGAGGAGGGAATAAAATCCTGTAACATGATGTGTTATGCATCATCTATGAATAACAACAAATACAAAAAAACAAAGAGGAAGCATGATTCCAATTCATCCTCGGACGTTGGTTTACTGTGCGATGTGGGAAAAGGACTTGGCTTCTCTCTGTGCATGCGGCCCAAGCAGATTTGTTGCCACACACTTGGTGATCGTCTCTCCAACACCAGCAGAGAACTGCCCACAGTCCACCCCCAGGGATCAGACCAATACCAAATCCACCTCAGGCTGTGAGACCATCAATGACTCTTTGAATGTATGATTATCCACCATTAAGGGAGATTTCTAATTACTAAGACCTTAGTGTCCATTCCCATTGCATTTTAACTGCAACATAATTAATAGAAAATAGAAAAAAAAGTAGATCATAGAATCATAGACTCGTTTAGGTTGGACAAGACCTTTAAGATCATGGAGTCCAACTGTTAACCTGTGTTAGGACTGTGACAAGTCCACCACTAAACCATGTTCCTAAGCACCACTTCTACATGTCTTTTAAATTCCTCCAGGGATGGTGACTCAGCCACTTCCCTGGGCAGCCTGTTCCAATGCTTGACAACCCTTTCTCAGTGAAGAAATTTTCCCTAATAACCAACCTAAACCTCCCCTGCTGCAATTTGAGGCCATTTCTTCTCATCCTATCCCTTCTTGCTTGGGACAACAGACCAGCACCCCCCTCACTACAACCTCCTTTCAGGTAGTTGTAGAGAGCGAGAAGGTCTCCCCTCAGCCTCCTCTTCTCCAGGCTAAACAGCCCCAGTTCCCTCAGCCGCTCCTCATAAGACTTGTGCTCCAGGCCCCTCACCAGCTTGGTTGCCCTTCTCTGGACATGCTGCAGCACCTCAATGTCTTTCCTGTAGTGAGGGGCCCAAAACTGAACACAGTACTTGAGGTGTGGCCTCACCAGTGCCCAGTACAGGGGACGATCACTTCCCTGCTCCTGCTGGCCACACTATTTCTGATACAGGCCAGGATGCTGTTGGCCTTCTTGGCCACCTGGGCACACTGCCGGCTCATATTCAGCTGGCTGTCGACCAACACCCCCAGGTCCTTTCCCACCGGGCAGCTTTCCAGCCACCCTTCCCCAGGCCTGTAGCGCTGCGTGGGGCTGTTGTGACCCAAGTGCAGGACCTGGCACTTGGCCTTGTTGAACCTCATACGATTGGCCTCGGCCCATCGATCCAGCCTGTCCAGATCCCTCTGTAGAGCCTTCCTACCCTTGAGCTGATCAACCCTCCCTCCCAGCTTGGTGTCATCTGCAAACTTACCGAGGGTGCACTCAATCCCTACAACTATCACAACGACTTGAGATGTTGTAGTAATTAACCTGCTTTCTAAAATAAAATATATGTAGGTTTTCTTTCACTGGAAAGAAAGAGCGTTTATATACTAGCATGTTTTACAGAGCTGAATTCTAGCCCCCAATTATTTTAAAGTAGAATTCAGCACTGTAGCAATTGCCAGATATTGCTGAGTTTAGCTTTTTCTTTTTATAGTAACAATGATTTTTCCAGAAGGTTTGGATTGAGAGCTCTTTGACCCTGAAAATAATGCATTTATAAACCACACGGCAGCAGCTGGAGAGCTGCCTCCGTCTTCCACACACAGTTTCCCCTCGACTGCCCAGTGCTGGAAGACGGAGATGCGGGAACTGGTCGAGAAGGCAATCGGTAGCCAGGCCCGCAGAGAAAGAGGTGCCCTCTTTTGGCAGAAGGGAGTCATTTCTCTAGCTTTGATCGTAGGGGCATAGATATCGTCAGCTGCAGATTTTTCCTCCCGGTCTCCGTCAGAGGCCCCGTTACGCCGGGCGGCACAGCGCTCCTCCGCCCCACGGCCCGGGGCTGGGCAGAGGACGGGGCGGACGGCGGCCCCCCCCGCGGGCGGGAAGGCCGCGGGCGCCAAGGGGGGGCAGCCCCCCGC